TAGATATAATAATAATAATAAAAAAGTCAATAATTTTTGTTTTATATTTTAGAATAGAAATCATTCGTTTGCGTCGTGTCGGAACGTGTTCTTAAAAATGGGTAATATCGAAGTTCGCGCGGTAATAAAATATCTCTGCTTGAAAGTGTTTACTAAGGTGCTGGTAAATCAAGGCTTAAGAACTTCGGATCGTCGTGCTACTGTTTGTTTTATAGCAGAAGAAATAAAGATTTCTATAGAAACTGTCCATGATATTATCTATACACAACCATTTAGGTGTAAAAAAAGTTTAAGCTACAATAATAATAATAAAAGCCCGTTTAATTCCAAATAAATGAAAAGCAAGTATATTAGCTTAGATTTGTCACATACATTTTATAAATTTATTTTTTCTTGTAATCCTAATATCCTGGCTTCCTTCAGTATCTACAATGGACGAAACCCCATCACGGGTAAAGGCCTCTTCCAACTTTTAAAATCCAAATATCTGTTCATGGCTTTCTTTCTCCATTCGCTTCCTGCTAATGCTTCTATTTCTCCTATCCACCTTTTTTGGGACGCCCTCTTCTTCTTCCCTTTGGTCCTTTCCATATAGTGAGTAATCACGTAAGACTTCGAATTGATGGAAAATCCTTTTTATTCTCCGGAAGTGTTCTCCTAGTTCCTAGAGATTTCTACCTATTTCTACGGTTACAGAGGCTATAAATTTCAAGATGAATGACGGAATGAAGAAAATGAAGAATGAATGAAATATTAATTTAGCTTTAACCAAAATATAAGCGACTACGTCCAAAAACGTCACTTTTATTGAACATCAATACAATATCGAAAGCACCGTTTACGGGATATCCAATGGTGAAGTAAAGCTTATGGTTAATCACGACGTTTTGATTATATATATTCATTATTATTTAGTTGACTTAAAAGGGGTAGTGTAGAAAGTTAAAGAATGATCAAAAATAAATGTTATCTGTGGCGGAAGTGGGCGGAGGCAAGCGGTCGTGGGCTGGCACACGTGTGCCCCGCCCGCTGCGTCTGCGCATTTTATATTCTTTTGCAGAATGTATATAAAAAAAATATTTTACACGGTATATAATATTTTAATCAGGAATAACTTAAAGATAATGGAAATACTTGCTCTGTCGAACTCGTTTAGATTTTAGACACTTACATATGGTAAGGTAAGGTAATTTGGAATTGTTTAGCGCTGCTTCTCATTAATTAAGCGAAAACGACGTGATTTTTGTTGTGTTGTCATAATTAATTCAGTTTCATTTACTTACCGTGTAGTCGTATTCAAGAAGCGCTTAATCTTAATATTAATATATATAAATCTCGTGTGGGGGGGTGGGGGGGGCCCCCCCCGCCCCCCACCCCACCCAAAAATATATCCCCCCCGGGGGGGGGGGGGGGGGGGGGGGGGGGGGGGGGGGGGTAAAAAAAAAAATATTATATTTTTTTTTTTTTTTTTAAAATTTTTTTTTTTTTTTTTTTTTTTATAAAAACGGGGGGGGGGGGGGGGTAATAAAAACCTCCTCTCCTCGGCGGGGGCCTCCCCCCCCCACAGAGGTTCCCCCCCCGTTCCCTGGGTTTTTTTATCTTTTGGGAAAAAACAAAAATCTTAGCCAGAGCAACGCTTGGCCGAGTCTACTAGTATACCTATATAAATTACGTGTCACGTTTGTCCGCTATGGACTCCTAAACTACTTAACCGATTTCAATCAAATTTACATACCGTGTGCAGTTTGAACTAACTTAAAAGATAGGGTAGCTTACATTTTCATTTATGCCCGTAATTTTATTTTATTGCAAATTATTTGTTTATTATTTGACAGTCACAATTCTAACAGATGGCGTTGTGTAGAAAGTACCAACGTTTTATATAAGCTACAATTTAATGGCATAACCACCAAAAAGGCATGGTCCCCATGGGTCCCCATGACTGGTGTTCTCCTACCGTTTCCCTTGAATAGTTTACTACTATGTAATATAACAAAAACTTTAGCCACAGCAAAGCTTGGCCGAGTCTGTTAGTGTATATATAAATATATCTTCAATCTGGTATTCTACTATACAACAAGTAATATTTCTTTAAACTCATACGAATCATATTTTATCTTTGTTGATAGTTTAATTCTGTCCGTAAAAAAATTAACTGATACTAAGTATAAAGTTATCAATGTTTGTTAGAGTCAACGATACGTCTTTGCCCAAAATTAATCCTCCGACCTATCCTAACGCCAATGATAATTATAATATTCGCTCAAGAATTTTTTTTTTATAGATCAGGGGGCAAACGTAGGAGGCTCACGTGATGTTAAGTGATACTGCCGCCCATGGACACTCTCAATGCCAGAGGGCTCGTGAGTGCGTTGCCGGGCTTTTAAGAATTGGTACGCTCTTTACTTGAAGGACCCTAAGTCGAATTGGTTCGATAATAGTTCAGTGGGCAGCTGGTTCCTCATAATATAGAAATATTTTTTTATATTTGCGCGCGATATAGATATGTATTAAGTAGGTATATTGAAATATAATCGCTGACAAAATATCAGAATGTGCAGTGATAATGGCGAACGAAATAGTGACGAAAAAAATAATATAAACTATGACTTACACGAGCGTTGATAAATAAAAATAATGAACTGGGATTTTGATAAAATAAATTCGAATTGTCGCCCTAGTAAGGAGTTCACGATGCCTAAGGTGCCTCGTGCCTCCACGCAAAGCTGTCCTGCATTCGTCCCGTCGAGGTAGGTATGAGAGTTATGAAGTACGAAGTGGCCCTGAATTAGTTTTAATCTTTCTATGTTAATAAGTATATCGAGATAAAGCTCACAACTTAGACGTTACCAAATAGAAATTCGGTCCTGAAGAGTAATGAGTAATTTTCACATAGCTAATCGGTATATGCTCGCGCTGTTTTAGAAAGATCTAAAAGATAAATATCATTTAGATAAATTATCACAATCTGATTATTCACGTTTGTTTATTCGGCATGAATCGCCTTTCTCACAGACACACACAGACACAGTCTTCATAGACGTTTAATTTATATATTATCTGCGGGAGATAAACACCTAAAACCTAGTGTGTGTTTGTCTGTATAGCATCGTGATTTGCGGCGTATATTTCAACGTGATAAAATATATAATCATGTTGAACAGTCTTGGAGATGTTCTGTGTGTGTGTGATGAATATAACATTTGAAGCATCTTGTATTATCTTGAGAGTGAAACACCGCTTACGCGTTTCATGAGAGGTTCTAATTATTTAAATATTTTTTTATTAAACTTTAAAAATTAACATAAATATTACTCAGCATTTATATGGTTTGCTTTACAAATTATTTGATGTTGGAACCTATGATCTAATTAGCGCATCTGAGCAAAAGCGTAGGTAAGTGAACTTCTTTTTTAATGCATTCTTCAAATTTATTTTATGTATCTTTACTAATTAACAATAAGGAATATATTATAATGTAGCGTTAGAACTGTAACTTTAGCTTTTTTGTATTCAGTTTTGTGAACAAGTTCAGTTGAAAAAATAAGTTTACGGGTACAGTTTAACTTGTTGAACAGTCTAAAAATATAAGACGTAATAAAACCTTCGCTTTTGGATTTCAATACTGTGAGTTAAAACCCATGTTTAATGACTTTTTAAGCCAGAGTTAGTATAGGGTGACTCATTGACTCTCATTTAATCTCAAGTCCCACTCTACACAATTATATTAAATTTTTTATCACTTGAATTAGCAATCTTATAATTATAAAACATTCATAAAAGATATTACCTTGTGTTTGTGTGCAATTATTACCGAACTAGCTGGTGCCCGCGACTCCGACCACGTGGAATTTATAGTTTATTTATTTATGATTTCGATATCGCTTGAACCACCCAAGCTGATGCTCGGTAGACTCAAGAAGAGAGACAAAATTCAGAGAATTGATATGGAGTATCATTTTTTTTATAATTATTATAACTTAAATAATTACTAATCAAAGACAATCGAATCCAGAACTGTTAATCTAGCGTTGAACATGCGCTAAAGAAACCTGAGGTCGTTTGTTTGAATTCTGTTTTATTTTTATTTAAAACAAAAATTATTTTTCAAAAGAATTGTGGCTCCGTCGGATGTTGATTAGTTAAAATCATAGACTAGATTATCATTATCACGAACAAACCTGCAGCCGCGTACTAGGTACGTACGTCTATTTGGATTAGAACACTTTTAATGGCGTTTGCTTATGCAATTCTAGCTGAGCCTCAATTCCACGTTATATCGATTTTCAATAAATAAGAGAATATTGTTGTAATAGTTGCTCCGAAGTAAGCTTAATTTTTGATGAAAAATCGCCAAACAATTGGTTCAGTAATTCCGAATATTAAATACATAAAATCAATTTAAAAAATATTATTCAAAAAGGTGCGTGACTTTTGTATATGTAAGTATATAGATAAAATATCTCTTATACTAGGCACCACTCAGTATATATTTGCAGCGACAAAAGAAATGCAGTCTTTATTATTTATTAGAGGGAATAGTACATTTTTTCTTCTTAACTGGCTGCCAATTAAAAGCTTAATTGATTTTTAAATATTAATTAGATATAAATTTAATTTATATTTAGGTAAATAAAAATGTGTTTTTCTGGATTATAATAATAATTCTTCCTACCTTTAGCGAGGTAAGGTCTACTAGAATTTCATAATTCCAACTTATATGTAATGCAAAATTATAAATAAAAATCAGAAATACAAAAAACAATTTTAATTTAATAAATTCAAGGTAAAATAATAAATACCTCTTCAAACTTCTCACAAACTTCTCTTAAACTATCTTTAACAATAATAAATCCTTAATTTCTCTAACTCTCCGGCTCACAACCATTTCTAGCAATTAAACAACTATTGCGTGGAAGCGAACTCTGCTCGCATCTGTAGGCCTAGGCGCTGTCAGCGCCGCTGGCGGTCGGCAAGTCCCCGATGCGCCGGGACTGAGCTCACCGCGGGGGCGAAGTGTCCAGAGACTTTGCCGCCGTGCTCTTGTCTACGATACAGCTGCAGCCCACGGGCACCTCCAGAGTCACCATATCGTTCTTGATCTTGTCGAACACGAGCACGGTGTCGTGGACCTCCACGCATTGCATCACGTGCCCGCTGAGGCTGTGGCGGCAGCACTCGTGCTGCAGGTGCGCCAGCCGGCACCACTCTCGCTGATCTTCGGCGCACTTTAGCATTTTTATCTTTCGCGGCACTCGGTGCTCGTTGATGTCGATCTCCACCTTGATGGGGCACACGGTCTTGTTGAGAACATCGTTCAGGTCCATCGAGCGGGCCTCGCCGGGCCTCACCGAGATGAGCCCCAGCAGAGCTGCGAAGGCGACGAACGTAACAATCTTGTGGAACATGGTCAGTCGAGTCGTCTGCGTTCACGTGAAGCTAAATTGCGAATAGCAGGTACGCATTTTGGTGAGGCTTAAATACCGATTACGAGCACGGAGTGCGAGGGTTCAGCGGGCGGAGCGCCGGTCGCGTGCCGTCGCCGCGCCAGTCGTCTGCCAAACCGCGTGCGCGCATCATCTCAACGCGGCCGCCTCGCTCTACGAGACTGTGATTAACAATTTATACGTTCAGTGACGCTTTCGTAGCGAAATGTTGGATGCGTGTGTTGTGTTATAATGGTGCTTAGAAATACGATTCGGCGCAATCTTTGTAAATATAAATGTGGACATTCACTTGAAAATGTAATAAATTTATGATTCATGTTAAATCGTTTAAAACTGTGCAACGATAACGATATTTGTATATATGTTGCGATTTAAATATGTAGATGTGCACTGAATATTATTATTTTATAAATAACAAAATACTTTAGCGTATAACATTCATGTTGGATAGTTCACGAGGGAACATGGTATCAACCAATAGCAGTAGTAAGATAACAAAAATCACGAAGTTTCACTTTGTTGGGCGGGATTGAATTTGGCACTGACAGATTATTCACGTGTATTTACAGTATAATGAACACACGTATCCTTCGAGAGATAAGAGATACGTGAAAATTTGATAAGTAGTATTATATTTAGCTTACAGACGGCTTAATTAGTCATTCTCTATTTGTGACATAATTATAGAACTTTCGGTTTGTAAGTACCGTACAATATTTTTTTTTTTTTTAAGTGAAATAGCAGGGCCAATGTCGTTTTATGTTTAGTTATAATTAGTCTGAGGTTTGTTTAGCGCTGTTGGCATAACAATACAGATTATAGTATAAAAGTTTAGTCGAGATCCGAGAGCACGCAAAAGCCCCAAAGCTCATTCCAACACGCACTAGAAAATCAATACCTTATTTCCACATGTTCATGGTGGTGATAGACTCACTACTTATATAAGATAAGCCTACTTTCACTGTTAACTTCTTTTACTTAAAATAAAAATATTATTACAAATAAAATACTATATTTTCGTTAGGCTGCTGTCCTTTGACATAGGCCCAATTGCATTACATCTCATTCTGTCGCAAGCTATCACTCGCCATTTTGTCAGTATTTTATCCAATCCTTTTTTAGATGTCTCAAATTGGAAACAATTAAAGATTTAAGTATTTTAATAATTTGTAAATGATTGCATATTAAACATTAAATCCCTTTTATTTATTTATGCCATAGCGTTTTAACAATAATTGAATTAGAAAAAATCTAATTTCTGGATACGTCAGCGTAGCCATTTCCAACCAGCGTAGGCCGCGTAGACGAATCGTTCTACGCGCGATTGTTGCGTAGATAAATTATCTAGTTTTGGTTTCAACTTTTTCCAAAGGCTTTATACAAAAAAAAATTTAGCCATTTACCATTTCCTACAATCTTTTATGAAAAATACTATTATTTGTATTTTAATAAAATATGTTTATGAAAAGTGATATATGTGATGTCTGCTCCAATTGGCCTGAGTTACGTTAAGTGACTAAGTTAAAAAACTTATGCGAATAGGAATGCAAGTAAAGTTCAATGACGCGTCTGTTCAACCTTCCTTAAGCCAGAAACAAAAAGCAGTCTTAGGTTTTCTCATACAGTATAATTATTATCCTCATGTGAAGTTATCGTTTGCAAATTTTGCCGACGCCACTGTGACGTAATCCGAGGCTCGTGACGTCTCGTCGTCCTTCGAGATTCCCGTTAGAAGTCGACAAGTCGCTGCTTGACTTACCAAACGAGATTGTTACTTTTTGTTTCGTACTATTATCCTCATTAGCAAATACCTGTTCTTATCAACTTTACCTCAACACAATTTGTATAGTTTTATGTGGCTAGATAAAATACGAAAGAATATTATGTTACATAATTATTGATATTATATAATATTTTAAATGGATTTTGTGTATCTAAAATTAAGAATTATACAATTGTATTATATGTTAGCATTATTTCTTAGAATAGATGTGTTATTTGTGGTAATTAAAGTCCCTTTTAACAGTTTTTGTTTTTAAATAAACGTTACAATGAACAATGATGTAGTTTAATTTATAAAACTGACCGCATTTACGCAAGTCTTAACTGTTTATTTGTGAATCATATGTGTGTTCCCAATTTTTATTTTTTCTAAATGGTAAAACTATATTGGTACTGATAAATATAGGTACATACATAATTACTATTCTTAATTATTAATTTTCCATTAGTTTCTCCCACGATTACCTATTTGTCTTTATAAAAATACATAATTCAAATGGAAAAGCCGGTGAATTAATGAGGAATTTATTAAACGGTTTTAATTTATTTCGTTACCAGTTGCTATGATGTCTGTCTCCGAATACCATATTTAAACAGGTTTGTTCATCTAACTGAGATGTAATAAATTGGAAAAAAAATAAAAATTATTTGCAATTCGCCCTTGTTTTTATCTGTTTCATTTATATAGGAATAATATGTCATGTTCAACAACTACCTTTTTTGCACTTTCTTCTTTTATTACTTTCGACTTACTGCGACTATATCATCATAGTTGTCGTATTATTAATTATGTCTATTATTACAAATTGTGGTCGGCGACCACAATTGACGGGTGTTATCATTCATTCATTCATTAGTTTGGCAGTAAGTAGTCGGTAGTGACTCACAAAAAAAATTGACAAATCGTTCGTCGAAACCTAGGACTAATCGGTTATATTACCCCCTCGGAACTTTGAGAGAATTATTATTCCCGGCAGACATGCACGTCGCACATCATTAGCTTTCTATCTCGGTCACGAACGTTTCTTTTTCCCCTGTTTTGTTGGTAATATACTCATATATTGTAAAACCACGATTTCATGAACATTTGATATCACAACAAATAGCCATGTCCCTGGTAGAAATATACATATTATAGTTTTACCTTTACAATATCTAATACTATATTAAATAAGTGCTTCTTTTGGACACAGGCGACACTAATTTCCTGTGTTTTGAAAATGATCAAGCAATTTAAGCTATGTTTTATTTCAATATTTTGATCAGACACTGATTAAAATAAATAAAAAAAAAAAAAAAAGAGAAAAAAAATTTTTAAAAAAACCTTTAAAAATAAATCAGAGGCCCACACCTAAAAAGGTTTCATGATCATTTGTCAATCTAATAGGCAAGTAGGTGATCGGGCTCCTGTGCCTGACACAATAAGCCGTCGAGTTTTTGTGTCTAAGGCAAGCCCGTTTCCTCACGGTGTTTTGCTTCACCGTTCGAGCCAATGTTAAAAGCGCACATAGAAAGAAAGTCCATTGGTGCCGCCGGGGATCGAACCTACGACCTCAGGGATGAGAGTCGCAAGTTGAAGCCACTAAGCCAACACTGTAGACTCACCTCTCTGATCAATCACTGATTATTGTTTTGATTATGTTTAAAACATTTCCTAGGTACACCGTACACGCCAAGCTATGACCTGCGTTAGTACGCAGTCGTAGGAAAATCCAATTACATAGATTTTCGGTTTGTCACAACAAAGACATTTGAAAAGATCGCATATTAAGTTAAGAAATAAAGAGGCTTAATGTTTACGATTGCACACTTTTTATGCGTGAACTATATACGTACGTATGTATGAAACAGAAATGTATTTTCCACAACAAATGTTATATAAGTATATAATAGGTGTTACGCTCAGTGATAATCGAGATGGGTTTCCCTCGGCAGCGGTCGACGGACGTTCGTGAGCGGAAAACTCGCCTAAAACTGATTCGTATGATGTCTCAGCGGAGCAGATTCGATGCGATATGAATCAAGATGGTTTTTCTTCTCGAATCTCGATGTATTTATATTAGGTCATACAACTTTGTTGTCAACATATTATGTTGATTGCAAATGATCAAGTAGAACGTACCTACACCTATGAAGGCACATCTGATAATTACTGAAATATCGTTAGTGTGCATAATAAAAAAATATTGCCCTCTAAAATAATCTACGCATAGAAAATTGTTTTGTAAGCTCAACCTGAGTCAGCTTCACCGACATTGTAATAAGATTCAGTATAGGTATTATAATAATTATGATAGAACATAAATGGGTCATTAGATGTCGCGTGCCGGCCGGCGTGGTTCTCGCCACGCGACGGGAAATCACAGCGCGCACGCACCCAACTACACAGATATACACACACAGGCACAGGTGAGCTCGCGCCGCTACCTCGTGCTGCGCACGCGTCGCTAAAACCCAGGACATACCTACTAATCAGTAACCTTACCTGTTATTCAATATAATCGTTTGCAAATTAGACGTTTATTCCGTAAAATAATACATGCGGGTTATTTTCATATTAGTGCTATTTATGTATGGTGTCTGGCGGGTTTTTTTAATTTCTTTTAAAATATAATATATTTTATACTTTTCGCGTCGGCGTAACATAGTAGATAATAGATAGTTCTTATAGAGAACCATACATTATCACAGTATTTCGTAATATTTCAAGGTATGCAACAAGTATTATTGAGTTAGGTCATGACTAATAAACATTTACATTCTTAGGGTGAGATCTAGTGCACTTGGTTGCTCAGACTTACCTTACGAAAACTTTGCTTAGTGTACACTAAGGTTAAACTATGATTTCGTATTATGACATTTTAACGGTGAGATTAAGCTAAGCCCAAGCTAAGACAAATGTCAAAATACAAATTGATTTTCATTTCATAATATTGTTTAATCCTTTAAAAATTAACGATAACAAATATTTAAAATCTAAAACGGTACACATATACTTCAATTTATTGTTATTATTATCATTTATTTTATTATTGCAATACTAGAAATTCAGAGTAACCTTTAGAAAATGTATAATTATTTAAAGATGACAATAATTTTATTACGTAGAACGGATCGCAATGTTTTGACAACAGCAAAAGCACTTGTATCAACTATCAACAATTGAAAATTTTAAACCA